TGATTACAGCTGGCGAGAGTTTACAGGTCTTACGAAGGTGTAACAAAACAAGCCAGCAAAAGAAAGTGGAAAATGAACCTCCTAAGCCAAACAGCGCCAGAATTATTAATTTCATGCTAATAAACTTACTACTTGAACTTTTACTTAATAATTATTCACTTGAATAATGAAATAAAATGTTACGTTTCAGAGGCCGAGCACACAGCCCCTGCAGGAATTCTACAAGGACTACGACGCGGAGCTGGAAGGTATGAAGTTCATGTATAACGAGTGATTTCATCTTTCACTTGAAACTGTAAAATTTTATTGATGTGTGCCGGATCCACTTTTGCTGTGCGCTTGCCAAGCAATCTTCCTGCAAATAGCGCCTTTATTTGTGTGTTCAGCTCTAGCTCTAGTATCTTGCGTCCATCCCCTTGGATAGATGTATTACTAGTCGAATCCTGTTCTGTGAAGTACTGTACTATCCTGGAAGAATGGTGTAGTTAGTTACTTCGACATATCACAGCTGTTACGTTGATAGATTATGTTTGGTTGCGCCACGCATTTTAGATCAATCCAAGTGGCAAAGTATAGTTTGTCTGTTCGCGATCAAACAGGGCGGTTCCCACAAGAATTGAATGAGCCCACCCGCTGAGTTTCTAGCATTGGTTTTGTTCCTAAAACAATCATCACCCGATCGCCATTTGTTGAGCAAGGTAGTCGACATGGGCTCGTCCCGCCCCTTTTTCGCTGCCCATCTGACTGCGATTTTAAGAAGTATATGTAAATTCGTACTGGACACACTTTTTTCTTTTCGTGATGCTGATAAGTCAGTGCTGCAAGAGGGCTGGTCCAGTATAGAAAGGAGCTCGTTCTGCCCAAGACTAAGGCAGAAACTCTCATGCAGCTGGCTCGCCATCGTTTCTTTACGCTAAGCGCGGTGCAAAAAAAAAACCACAACTATAGCCTGGAAAGGAAGCTCGTAATATTTCGAAGTTTTCCAGAAGTACGCGGGGCTTTACCAAATTTTCCGGAATGTTGGCAGATGTTCACAGAATACCTCCCTCCTCCTCCATTTGCACTGATTTGGCACCAGTGAGCTACTGTAAAGCTGAAAATGGCACCAATTTCGGCGCAGTTCGGCGACGGGGAAGGGGTAAATTCTACACTCCGAGCCAACTAAAGAGCTCTTTCATGAGCAAGACAAAGTTGACGGGTTTTACCATGGTGGCTAGACGAGCTTGCTCCAGCTTCACAAAGTTCACAGGTTTCACCAGAGCGGAACTTGTGAACCGGAACTAGTAAAGCAGTGAAGGTACAAAATGCCCTTCCCCGTCGCCGACGCCCCAATTTCTGTTGCTCTTTATTTTGTGTAGTCCTACGTTTATTGAGGCGCCATCTTCAAAAGAATTCTTCGTGATATTTGATATCACAGCTGCTGAGTGCGGTTGCTGCCCATTGCCCGGCGTCGTGATTGAAGTTTCGTGTAATAATCGCAATGAAACGTGTTGGTCGAGAAGCGATGAGATCTGAGATTTCTCAGGACGGGGACGTCGAACACATGCTTTCTCACTGACTAATGCTATTGAAAGGCTTGTTGGAATGTGTTAGAAGAACACAAATCAAATGGATGTTCTGCAGAGTTTTATCACACGAACAGGTGTCGTGTTGGGAAATCCTTTTCACCAGACAACATGTGTTAAATCTCAGGGTGACATGCTAAGAGAAGTAGTTCTGATGAACGGGGAAAGACAGCTAATGGAACGTAGTAGTATGTCAGGGAGAGCCTGTTAACCCCCTTTGAAGATTCATGGGTCTTCAGTTCATCAGCATTCTCCCTTTTGTGAGTGCAGGTGTCGCTGCTCGAGTTCCTGCGTGCATTTTATGGTCACTTCTAGTCTACCCGAATATGGTAAACGGGCTAAATGGAAAAAGTGTCAGGTAAAAACGAAAACGACCGTTCCCACTGATTTCCACTCGGCGCGACTCATCTTTGAATTATTCGGAGCGAAATCCTTGAAATATGGGATTGCACTCGAGTGGCTGTGCAAGGGGGGGGGGCAGAGTACGGCATTATAATGTGTGAGGTGGTGGTGTAGGTACGCGACCCCCGACCCCTTTCCCAACACCTACCCCCAGTTTTTTTCACCCAAAAATTTTCCTTCGAGGGGTGGGGGCTATAGTGCACATGAAACAGGAAAAATTACGCAAAAAGTCAAACAAGACAACGGCGACAAACTCTCTCAAAGACCGCCCTCTATCCAACACCGAAACCGACACACTCCTACCTCCCCAGAGAAAAAGATAAACCCCTATGTTCCCCCAGCGTATGCTGTCCCATGGAGGGGAGGTTTTAGCTCGCTAACTGTTCGCATTTTGCATTAAGGCGATGTATTGACAATTATTTTAATACGAAAAATCCCATGTAAACTGGGATAAGGTATTGAAAGAGAAGTTTAGCGCATTTTTGTTGGAAAGAGTCGACTCGAGAGGGTATGGATCGAACGTACTAGAAGCACCAACCATTTCCCTCATAGCTATAGGAAACGCTGCGGCTTGTCCATCTTCTACTAATTCAAGGGCAAAGGGGCAAAAAAAAAATGGCAAATTTAAATTTTTGGGGAATGGTGGACGGTCGCTAGCCTAGATTTCGGCCTACGCTCAACACGGCTTTTTTATCGGGCAAATAGTTCACGACTGGATTGCCTGTGGTGTTCCAAATGAAGGCGCTTGTAAATGGGAATTTCTAACAACGTTTTAGGCCGGTTTACCATAGTTTTGGAAAGCGGCCAACTCATTTGATCCAGTCGAACCAGTTGGGGGCAGTAAAGATTTAAACCGTCAGATGTTCTTCAAAACTTCAAAAAATGCACTACACGCTCAAGTCGATTACTTTTCTAGGAGAGATGCCACGCATTTAACGCTCCATCAAGTTTCTCAAGGTGAAACGTATTGAGCTACAACATGCTGCCGAGGGTAGGCGATTTGATCCTTCTAGATCGAAGTCTGGTACTAGTATACCGGCCCCCGAGAAATAGGAGACTTGCTTGGTTGGGCCTCTAACCGGTCTGGTGGCTTTTTCTCGGAATGAAATGGTGGGAAAGTCATCCCCTCCTGACGTCTAGTGAGAGTCAGATGTTCGATAGCCTTGTGGAAGAGTCGGATAGGTGCGCTTCCCAAGTAATCTTGGTTACTTGTACCTTAGTTACTGACTAGTTCCTCTTATATTGACGGTATATGGAACTTTTTACATGTGCGACCGTCTGTCCATTGCAGATGGCTCTACAAAAGCTTATGGTCCGCCTAAACAATGCATACTTTCGGCTATTTATCTTGTAATTCACAATGCATACTTTCGGCTATTTATCTTGTAATTTCTTCATACTATCAAATTTGGTAGGGATTGTTAGAGAACTGACTTCAAAAACCTGTTTAAGCGGTTGCAAAGATGATCGACCCGGCTGCGCCTCGGCCAGAGGGGCAGTTAATGACTCCGGTTCGTGGTGACAGTGCGAGTGCAACTACACAGAATCATCCAAGGAGCTTAGACAGGTGTGTTTGTTAGTCGATAATGTTTTCCAGAAAGCTGTGCTGTACGAAAAGATTCATGATCATACTTTTTTGTACTGAAAACAACTGATTCTGTTGTTCATTGAGGGATTACTTGTCAGTACAACCATAAAAACAGTTATTAATCATGTGGATTACACCGTTCGCATGATCAAGAGAAAAAGCTCTGCTTTGTTGAGTTCTCGTCTTAAAGATAAATCCGCGATTGTATATTGTGGGTAGTGAAGTCCAGTTACAAACTTATAAGCGCTGAGTGGCGCTCCGGGGAAGAAAAAATGCAAAAAAAATCGTGGAAAACGCCCGAACTAAAGACCCGACTGCCTCTTGGGACGGGTTCTCCGGAAATTTTCTTCTGTTCTTTTTTTATGCCAGCAAAGGGGTATCCTGCAGCCTGTTGCTCACTAACCTTGCTTTTCGCCATCCAATGCTAATTCCATCTAACAGTGAAAAGAAAACTGTAGAAAGAACTCGTAACAAGAGGGCTTTTCAGTTTCGATGGGCGGGGCAACTGGGGAGGCGTCAGAACTGCCAGTGAGGGCCACTTCGTTTTTTTTTACTTACTGTGAAGCCGGGATATCTCGGAGAATGAGGGGCACACCACCTGTACAATGGAGGGCGCCTTGTTTGCCTAGCGAGGGGACTGAATTTGAAATTGTCTTTACTCTTTTTTGCTCATTGGGACTTCCAGGCCTATCCTGTCATTTCTATTGGTAACAGCTGCCTAGCTGTGAAACATAATGCATTTCAGCTCACGAAAAATGTAAAAGCGAAGAGTGAAAAATGAACAACGAAGTGAAATTGAAGAATAAAACCGTACTATTTCTATTTTGCCCATTTTAAATGTCAGTTGCTGATGGTTGTTTTCCCAAAGGGCGTTTTATCATTTCTTCCAATTTCAGAATCTCTAGTCTTGTTCGCTGCATGAAGGGGCGTGTCAGACCGGATGGGCTTAGCGCGGAGCCGTAATCCTTTTCCACCAGTTGTGGGGCGAAAGGGAAAAGATCGTTATATCGTTCGTGTCCGTTGTTTTCTACCACTTGTAGTCTCTTACCCTTTT